GCCTTTATCGTCGAGGTCTCTAGGAACGTTGTTTCGAATCACTTGTCGCTTTTCGGTGTCTGCTGCGACGTGTGCATGAAAATTTTCCATTAAAATGAGAGATTCCGTAGTGAGTTCGACTTCTCCAAGGAAGGACTCATACTTTTCCTCGAAACTGGGTGCAGGTACCTGTAACAAGGTTAACGCTTTAGCCAGTTGTTGCTCCAGCCGGAGAATTTCCAGTTTTCCGCTTACAGGCTTCTTATCAGTCGTTATATCAGTAAATTTGTGTTTTACTAGAATATTCACTCCGGCCTGAGCGCGCATCATGATGTGGACTCCTGAGTAAAATAGCTTCCACCCGCAGAGGTTCAGGATTCGAGGCTCATGGCGCATCGTCGAGGAGATTCCAGTTATGTTGAGATGGTATCCTGCTGCCTCTTAAACTGGCTTTTGCTATTTCCCTTTGTGGTTAGATATGTTGCAGTTTCTGACTACGGATTCCCAGTACATTGTATGTTAATAGTATTGATGCTATATTATGCATGATAGACGTTTGTAATAAGGTGCAGTACTGCGTATAGGCATAGTATTACTTAATATTATTTGTAATATGTACGGTAATGTTTCTGTGTAGCTAACGTTGCAGTTGATATGTAGATGTAAGTTATGTACATCATAGAATATAAACAAAATATCAGTAACATACGGTAGCATTTATAATCGGTACGCATAGGTGTTGAAGTGTCATCGTTAGAAGTAATAATCTGAACGTACCTGTATGAATTAGTCCATACAGTGAGAAACTGATTTGCGGCTCAGTCCGAGCCGGTAATTCCGCGGTTTTACTCTTTCATTACTGACGTTGTTCATATTACTAAATGTCAATTTTTCTGCCTACTTCTTTAATGTTGCGCCTTTATTCCGGTAAAAGCCACACATTATACCTTGGGATTGGAAAGCAAATCGAAAGCAAACTTTCAGACTGATCCATTGCGATATGGAGAGTTTACCACTCTTTATGGTAAACATACATATCACGTAATGCAGATAGTCCGCCTTCGTTTAAATGATTATTTGCAGCCTATCCATCCTAGTTTGAAAGATATTTAGTGAATCTGCGCCCTTTTGGAAACGGCACATTCGAATTATTTCTGCTACAGTGAAAATAAGTTTTACTTGATGGCGTGCATTCAGTTTATGCTGCGTTTATTTCTTTTGTGTTGAAGATTTGCTCTAAGGTGAGAGTGACGTTGTCAGTCGCGGATATGAAAGTATGACATGCGCGATAGGTATGTAACTCGATTGGTGTATTTCTCTGGTTTCTCAGGTCGAATGACCTTGGCATTGTTTCGGATCGCAACTGAGTGCAGTGATCCGTTTATGGTTTCGGACGTGAAACTGAGTAACCTATAGAGAGAATAAGAGTTTACGCGAATAATTCTTTTATCGAAACTTGATGTAAAAACAAAACTACTCAAAAAATAATATCAGTAATGTAATAAATGAATTACCGATGACAGTGACGAATCCTGGAAGTGAAATGAAGTTGGAAGTCGTGAAGTGCTCATACTTTCAGAAATAAATCTCTGAATTGATCTCTGCTGTGCTAACAAGTCATCCGAAATCAGCAACTTCCCAAGTAATCCGTCTGGTATTCATCACTTTATCGCCAGTTTATGATGAGACTGGGGAACGAAATCCATTTTTGTAATTGTCTCCCTTGGACGTGAACGGTTGAGACGGTTGGTAGGTGTATGGTCGTCAAGACAAACATGTTGAAAACGAGTATCGACCGCCTTGCGAAACGTATGAATGAATGAAGATAACTGTTGAGTGAAAATCTGAAGAAAAATATTAGCGAAACGAGTTCTGCTTCTTGGCTTATGATAAAAAGGCAGTGCGTTAAAAAAAAGTACTGATGAACAGAACAGCTTAGCGATGGCAGCAGCGGTGCTGCGGCCGAAAATTGTTTCAATATAGAGCAATGGGCCCTACGGCGGCAGCGGCATCAACGGCGATGGCGTTGGTGAGTCACGCGTGGAGACGGCAAACAAGTAAATGTCAGACGATCGGCCGCGTTGAACTCGAATCACCGTCGCGCTGTGGGCGCTGACCGGACGGACAGACAGGCAGACAGGTGGATGATAAGCAACACTCGTCGGCAGGTGACCGCCGGATGAACCGACGGAGACGAGGGCTCGCAAAGAGGCATCGTTGGAAAGGTAACGATAGATAAGCAAGAGAAGGCACTGGAAAACGGACCACATCTTGTTGCGCATTTATGCCGCACTATGATTTGTGTGTGTGTTTATTTGTAAGCGATGAAACTCGCAACGGAAAATGAGGAAATTTTTCGTTTTGAAGTTGAAATGCTGTAGCTATACAGAGACGCTCCGGATCGGTGCCGTTTTCTGTCCAGAGAACTGAATGCAGGATGATTATTCATCGTTAAGAGGTAGACGTGGATTTATGAAAGGAGGGTGTCACCTTTTTTAGAGAGGTTTATGGAACAGTTCGAGAAAACTGCATATCCTAATGCTTTGTCAGCCTCTTTGTAAACTATATGGTAGGTGCCTTTACATTTGATCTAAAGATGAAATACACGTCTTTAGAGGGTTGCAGGTTAGAATTCCAGCTGTATTACTCGCCCTACGTGTTTCGGAATTAGTTACAACAAACAAACTAACAAACGGGCTATGTTGTTGTTGTTGTAGTCATCTGGGATGTCAGGGTCAACGACTGAGTACCCAGATTAACAATGTTTGACGCTTTTGCTTCTGGTGGTCATCAGCTGCAGTTAAACTGCTTGTATAAATATCCAGTTCCTCGACAATGGTTGCAAAGTCGAGATTACCACTGCATTGAGAGGTTCACGAACGCAAACACCACAGATGAAATAAGAAATATCTCAATGCTTAGTTCACTATCTCTTTTTCATTTTCTATTCAAACCGTATTTTTTCGCTAACCGATCTTATAAACTTTTGTTATAACATGATCTTGGAAATTTAAGTAGTCATTGTTCTCTGTAGAAAAAGTTTCCAGTAGATCAAGAAGCTTGTTTAAAATTTTAGATTCACAAAATTTAATAAGAATAAT